CTATCTATCAAATAAACAACGCTAGTTCATTGACAAGGGCAACTTGAAAAAAGATAAATATTAATAGTGCTCTTCAACCCTTAAGAAAAGCATGGCAGATATTACATTTAAGACCAGTTGACAGGCAATACATTCTACTCATTTCCCCCCTGCACATAAATGTAAAAGAGCCTAAACTGTGCAAATGTTTTCTCAAAAGAGAGCAGTGCATTAAACAAGGTAAAGTTTTACTATATAGACAAAATAGAAAATAGTTTTAATGACTTACAGGTATTCTTTCAAGGAATTGTATTCCATTGGTTATTAAACAAAACCAAATCTACAATTAAAATTAAAAAGATAATCACATGATAATGAAATATTCAATTGAAATGATTAATCGTTGATTGAAAATGATTGTCAAATCAATTTTTTAATCAACAAATTTTATCATATAATATTATTATCATTTAATTAATTTTTAATAGAAAAGAAAGGTGAATAACATTTAATTATCAAACAAAGTCATATAATTACTTATCTATATGATATACAATGCCTATTCAATTAAAGTGTACATGCTTTAAATTTTCCACAGGGTTCCATATCCTTGAAATGCCAGTTTTCAGTTAATCTTAAGATTATAATAATTCAAGATTGGATTTGCCAATGTATGTCTTACATTAAATGTACATTTTATATACTGTTTGATAAATTAAATCAAAGTACTGAAAGCACTCATGGAAGTTGAACATGGTGTTAAATAAAATCTTTGATCGGGAGGTTAGGTGAGTGAACAATATTATTTCAAATACAGACAACTGTTTCAGATTTTTTGAATTGCAACAATCTTGAGAAAGGCATTCAGAAACACTGAATAGCAAAAAAAAAACCCAGAAGTCTCTGTCGAGACTGTAGCTCTACTGGTTTATACTTAAAACAAAGGAAGAGAAAAGTAGCAGTTGTGACTTGAGACTTCAAAACAGCAATCAATAGAACCAGAAGTCTCTGTCGAGACTGTAGCTCTACTGGTTTGTACTTATCAAAAACCATTGCACTATTTTATGTATCTTTGTGTAGTCTACTTGTGTGCCAACTTATTTTGAAATCAAACTAAAACTGTAGAAGGAGTAGCATTTTAAAGGAATTTCACAGAAAATTCTATTTTTAGTAACCATGGTAACACCGTTCATTGAAATCAAAAACCGATGCACAATTCTATGTATCTTAGTGTAGTCTACTTGTGTGCCAAGTTATATTGAAATCAGACCAAAACTGTAGGAGGAGTAGCATTTTGAAGGAATTTCACAGATAATTCTATTTTTAGTAACCATGGCAACACCGTTCACCGAAATCAAAAACCGATGCACTATTCTATGTATCTTAGTGTAGTCTACTTGTGAGCAAAGTTATATTGAAATCAGACCAAAACTGTAGAAGGAGTAGTGTTTTTAAGGAATTTCACAGAAAATTCTATTTTTAGTAACCATGGCAACATTGTTCATCGAAATTAAAAACCGATGCACTATTCTATGTATCTGAGTATAGTCTACTTGTGTGCCAAGTAATACTAAAATCAGACTAAAATTGTAGGAGGAGTAGCCTTTTGAAAAATTGTTTACAGACAGACAGACGGACAGACAGACGGACGGATGCCGGACGCATTATTATCGCATAAGCTCTTCTGGTCTTTGACCAGTACAGCTAAAAATGATCCTTGCCACCCATCAAAATAAAAACGGATGTACAGAATTATGAATCTTAGTGTAGTCTACTTGTGTGCCAAGTTATATTGAAATCAGACCAAAACTGTAGGAGGAGTAGCATTTTGAAAGAATTTCACAGAAATTTCTATTTTTAGTAACCATGGCAACACCGTTCATCGAAATAAAAAAATGATGCACAGAATTATGTATCTTAGTATAGTCTACATGTGTGCAAAGTAGAGCTGAAACGAATACCATAAATTAACATTCGAATATTCTTGAGTGTTATTCGATTCGTATTCGAACATTAGGTAATTAAATAAAGAGCTATTATGCCTTTTCATATACTTGCAAATCCTATTGTTTATTTCTTTATATCAGTGTAGAAGATAGGTGTAAGAAATAAACGTCTGCTCCAAGCCGTTTGACATGTAAATATGCATTAGAACTCGCATTTATTTTCAAGAAAAAGAAATAGAAAAAGAATCTTTTAATATCAACAATTATAAGCCTCTTTACTTCTTTAAATTAGGTGACTGTATTGCATTCTGATTACGTTAAATACGTTAAATGCCCGATCAGCAAACCAGCAGGTACTCGCCATGTTTTTCTGTTATAAAAATAAAAAAAACCGGTTCGTTTCTATATACCGGTAATATAATGTATATTTTTCCTATATGATTTCTGCAATTATTTATAAATTATAAATCTGAACAATCGATTCCGTTTGTTGATCCGGAATATTTCTCTCCGCACAATATAATTTTTTTTATTACTTTCGAAAATCATGGCGGTCAATGTCACCCAAATCTAAATTAATTCGGAAAGTTGGAAACACATGAGGTTGCTGAATATTTGGCTTCAAGATGATTACTGAGTAAATAAATCTGACATCGTGTCTTTATCAGGCCAGCAGTACCACGTGGACAAAGTTTACAACCTGTCTTATACATGTATTTGCTTTCGTTTGCTTCTTTTTCCACAGAGATCAAAAACAAAAGGATAGGCCTACACCATTTATTGCTTGAAATACGTTGTATTAAATATGTGACCGAATATTCAAATACAAATTTTCCATTCGAATATTCGTGAAAAACTATTCATTCACGAATGTTCAAACATTCGTTTCAGCTCTAGTGCAAAGTTATATTGAAATCGGGCCAAAACTGTAGGAGGAGTAGCATTTTGAAAGAGTTTCAGAAATTTCTATTTTTAGTAACCATGGCAACACCGTTCATCGAAATAAAAAAATGATGCACAGAATTATGTATCTTAGTGTAGTTTACATGTGTGCAAAGTAATATTGAAATCGGACCAAAACTGTAGGAGGAGTAGCATTTTGAAAGTATTTCACAGAAATTTCTATTTTTAGTAACTATGGCAACACCGTTCATCGAAATCAAAAATCGATGCATAGAATTATGTATCTTAGTGTAGTTTACATGTGTGCAAAGTAATATTGAAATCGGACCAAAACTGTAGGAGGAGTAACATTTTGAAAGAATTTCACAGAAATTTCTATTTTTAGTAACCATGGAAACACTGTTCATTGAAATCAAAAACCGATGCACAGAATTATGTATCTTAGTGAAGTCTACTTGTGTGCCAGGATATACTGAAATCGGAACAAAACTGTTGGAGGAGTAGCATTTTGAAAGAATTTCACAGAAATTTCCATTTTTAAGTAATCATGGCAACACCATTCAATGAAATCGAAAACCGATGCACAGAATTATGTATCTTAGTGTTGTCTACTTGTCAGCCAAGTTATACTGAAATCGGAACAAAACTGTGGGAGAGGTAGCATTTTGAAAGTATTTCACAGAAATTTCTATTTTTAGTAACCATGGCAACACCGATCTTCGAAATCAAATACCGATGCACAGAATTATGTATCTTAGTGAAGTCTACATGTGTGCCAAGTTATATTGAAATCGGACCAAATCTGTAGGAGGAGTAGCATTTTGAATGAATTTCACAGAAATTTCTATTTTTAGTAACCATGGCAACACCGTTCATTGAAATCAAAAACCGATGCACAGAATTATGTATCTTAGTGTAGTCTACTTGTGTGCCAAGTTATATTGAAATCGGACCAAAACTGTAGGAGTAGTAGCATTTTGAATGAATTTCACAGAAATTTCTATTTTTAGTAACCATGGCAACACCGTTCATCGAAATCAAAAACCGATGCACAGAATTATGTATCTTAGTATAGTCTACATGTGTGCAAAGTTATATTGAAATCGGGCCAAAACTGTAGGAGGAGTAGCATTTTGAAAGAATTTCAGAAATTTCTTTTTTTAGTAACCATGGCAACACCGTTCATTGAAATCAAAATCCGATGCACAGAATTATGTATCTTAGTGTAGTCTACTTTTGTGCCAAGTTATATTGAAATCGGACCAAAACTGTAGGAGGAGTAGCATTTTGAAAAATTGTTTACAGACAGACAGACAGACGGACGGACTACGGACGCATTACTATCGCATAAGCTCTTCTGGTCTCTGACCAGTAGAGCTAAAACTGCAGGGGCCATAATGCTTGCCTGCCTACATGAGTCCCTGTCTACATATACCCCCTGCTTGAAAAACGGGAGGGTATTTATTAATCGGGATTTCCGTCTATGTGTTTGTTACACTTTAGTTATACCATCTTATCCGCAACTTATATTTATTAATCGGGATTTCCATCTATCTGATTGTTACGCTTTAGGTATACCCATCTTATCCGCAACTTACACCACTGAACGAAATTTTCATAGAATCTTTATAACATATTGCCGATGTGCACCTTCTATTACTTTTTCATCCTACACATATTTTGGGTTTCTCATTGCAAAACATGGACACTGCCATTATATTCATATTAGAGGCGGTTGATCATCTATATAATTCACTGTTCACAGTCTTCAAAGAGCAATATATGATAAGTGTCTCAATTGGCCCCTTAAAATGAACATCTTAATTTTACTTTATATATAGCTATAATTTGTACAACTGTAAATGCGACCTTTATTGGTCATTTTTGTTTTGATCAAAATGCCGTTATTTTAGAAATATGACATCATAAAAATCACGTTTTCCCACCATATTAGCATATTTTGTGTAAAACTGCTTATTTTCAAGCAGTTTTTCTTCCAGAAAATATAGAGCGCAGCGTAGAACAAGCTTTATATTTTTACAAAAGATGTATCTATCCAATACTAATTAGTGACAGTTTTATGTATGTTCTACACTGCGCTCTATGTTTTCCATAAGAAAAAACATCAAGAAAAAGGCTGATTTTTGGCTTTTTTTGTAAAATAGCAAAAATAGCCTTATTTCTCATGTCATTTACGGCTAGTGAGTGCATATAAATGTGAAAAATATATTGGAAATATTTCTAATATAATCTCTTCTACAAAATATATATCAATTAAACATATCTGAATGTCATTCTAAAATGTTGATTTTTAGGGGGCCAAAATTGGCTCTTATCATATATACTCCTTTGTAATATATTTTTCCTTGGCACCTTTACTCATGTGTTATGAAAATTTCAGTTTTGCAGGAATAATATCAATAAAAATCCGGGACCGTTGGGCGTCGGGACTAGATTTACCGCTTGCCGTTAGTATATATAGTTGTCGATCGTATCTTTTTCAGTGTATGACGCCACACAAAAAACGAGTTCCATTACGAAAAACTTTTGAGGTTCTTTATAATTTAGTTTTACTTTGAACGATATCTAATATTCAAAATAAGATTACTTTATCAATATTACATTTACTTACTGTAAATGTTCAATTCAGGAGAAAATGACATGAACTATTTGTGGCGGATGTTTATGCATGTTTTCTGTTGAATATCATCGGAGTAAATCAGCCGACACAGTAGCCTCGCTTTTGGCTCTATATAATCAACACAAATTACTGCGCATGTTAAATACGTGATGACCATGGGAGCATAGTTCAACTCCCAAAAATAAATTCTATCCCTTGTGAATATCAATAGGGCCATCTAAACAAGAGGCCCATGGGCCACATCGCTCACCTGAGAAGATTTGACCATTCTGTTCTTTACAAGATTTCCCCCCTGTAATACATTATGTATCCCCACCCTACCCCACTGATCATAATTAAGACATTTTGAAATCAACTACCCCAGGATCCTTCCATGTGAAAATAAGTTTCAGCTTTTCTTGCCCAGTGGTTCTTGAGAAGAAGATTTTCAAAGATTTTTCCTATATATTTTTATGTAAAACTTTGATCCCCCCATTGTGGCTCCAGCCTTCCCCTGGGGGTCATGATTTGAACAATTCAAAATCGACATTACCCAAGAATGCTTCCACATAAGTTTCAACTTTTCTGGCCCGGTGGTTCTTGAGAAGAAGATTTTCAAAGATTTTTCCAATATATTTCTATGTTAAACTTTGATTACCAATTGTGGCCCACCCTTCCCCCGGGGGTCATGATTTAATTTAGAATCTACACTATACCAGGATGCTTCCACATAAGTTTCAGCTTTTCTGGCCCAGTGGTTCTTGAGAAGAAGATTTTCAAAGATTTTTCCTATATATTTCTATGTAAAACTTTGATTCCCCATTGTGGCCCCGCTCTTTCCCCTGGGGTCATGATTTGAACAATTTAGAATCTACACTACCCAAGATTGCTTCCACATAAGTTTCAACTTTTCTGGCCCAGTGGTTCTTGAGAAGAAGATTTTCAAAGATTTTTCCTATATATTTCTATGTAAAACTTTGATTCCCCATTGTGGCCCCACCCTTCCCCCGGGGGTCATGATTTTTACAATTTAGAATCTACACTATCCCAGGATGCTTCCACATAAGTTTCAGCTTTTCTGGCCCAGTAGTTCTTGAGAAGAAGATTTTCAAAGATTTTTCCTATATATTTCTATGTAAAACTTTGATTCCCCATTGTGGCCCCGCCCTTCCCCCGGGGGTCATGATTTGAACAATTTAATATCTTCACTACCCTAGGATGCTTTCACATAAGTTTCAGCTTTTCTAGCCCAGTAGTTCTTTAAAAGAAGATTTTCAAAGATTTTTCCTATATATTTCTATGTAAAACTTTGATTCCCCATTGTGGCCCTGCCCTTCCCCCGGGGTCATGATTTGAACAATTTAATATCTACACTACCCTAGGATGCTTTCACATAAGTTTCAGCTTTTCTGGCCCAGTGGTTCTTGAGAAGAAGATTTTTTAATGACCCCACCCTATTTTTGTCTTTTCTTGATTATCTCCCCTTGCGAGGGGATATGTCCCTTCATTTTAACAATTTAAATTCCCCTTTACCCAAGGATGCTTTGTACTAAGTTTGGTCAAAATTGGCCCAGTGGTTCTTGAGAAGAAGTCGAAAATGTGAAAAGTTTACAGACGGACAGACAGACGGATGGACGGACGGACGACGGACAAAATGTGATCAGAAAAGCTCACTTGAGCCTTCGGCTCAGGTGAGCTAAAAAACGTGTTTGTTTGCCCTTTCTAGACTGACTAAAAATGACCTAAGTAAAAATATTTATTTAACATTCCTGGACACAATATCTTTTTGTCCTTTTTATTCCTTTAATTACATCAACAAAATAAAATGTTGAAATTTTTCCAATTTTTTTTCATGTACCTACCTACCAACTGAATAATTTTACCATGAGTTGGGAGAGGACAAGCAAGCAAACATATTTTTAAAGGTGGCCTAGCATATTTCCTGCATGAATCAAGTGAAATAAAAAAAATGGAAAACTTACCAGATACAGTATAATAATTATATAAACAAGGACTAGAGTAGACACTGCTAGATAAATGGCCCAATGGTCAGGCAGGCCGTGAATGTACTCTGATATAAAGAACAGGTTTATTCCTATCACAACGATGGCCAGCACACCCGTGAATATGGACATAAACCTACAAAAATAGAAGTGGCCTATATCTATCACTGTCTTTAGTTCAGAGTCTGACAAAAAAACCCTTAAATTTTTAAAATGGTCATCAAGACCCCAATCCTCCTTCAAAATTAAGTGCATTGAAAATTGATCAAAACTGATTATGAAGTACAAATATAAATGTTCAGACATAGACTAGGTATACCTTCCATTCTTGAAATCTCCCATGATATTTTCGGAACTTGTGAATGTGAGTATCGGAATGAGGGCAAAAGGTAGCTGCAGGCTCATTAAAACATTCAACATGTCGTTCATCACCGTTAAATCCTGAATCCCGGAAAATGTAGCTACAAAGATGGTAGGCAGTATCGCAATGCTCCGAGTAAATAACACCCGCATCCAGCGCTTCCATTTGAGATTCAGAAAACCCTGGGAAAACATTCAAATCATCAAGTAAACTCTGGGTTAGATAGAGTGAAGCTCACCTCAGGAATTGTGATTTTTAAAAGAGGTTTGATCCTAAAGCAAGCGAATGTTAAAGAAAGAATTATCTGGTAGTCTCATAATTATGACAATGTTTAAATGATCTAGGTTCAATGGTTCAAGCAACAGTTTCTTGGGCATAAACTGAATTCAAAAACCATTTGACATGTACATGTTCATGGCTATTAATTAAACATTTAAATATCTTAAAATACGCATACAATGCAACCCTGGTCATATGTACACAATCAAGTATCAAATTAAAGGTGCATCATCCCGCAAGTCAATTAAGACAACTGACACTTAGAGAATGCCCTATTTATTCAACTATTTTTCTCTCATATATGTGTATTATAAATTTCTTTTGAAATTGAGGTTATTTTGCAATATACCTCCATCACAAATTGTCCTGTGTAGGTTCCAGTCATTGTTGAACTTTGACCTGCTGCTAGAATTCCCACTGCCCAAATATACATAGCTGCCAAACCAAACTGACAACCCAAAAACACGCCCTGTAATTTAAAATTTATATATTTTCAAGTCAGTTTTCTTCACTCTGATAGAAATTCCTCCAATTTAATTTTACAGGTAAGATTTTAAATATGTTACAATACAGCTTCCTCAATATGACAAATCCCAGAAACTGAATAAATGTATGAGTTTCAATTTCAATGCGATTATAAAATTTACAGTTTAAAACACATTGGCAGTATTTCAGCAATATTTTTGAAAATCCATGATCACTCATCAATCTATTCATTCTTATGTTTGATAATGGTAAATTTTAGTAACATGCTCATATCCATTTAAACATTGATTTTTTTTCCAAATTATTGTAATTTTTTTTTAAAATGTGATAATTAAAGTACAAGTAAATATTAACTACAAAGATTAATTGCATTGTGACTGTCGATGCAAATTACTGGACAAGACAGTACTTGGCAGCTACAGATACACATATTTCATTTTATGAATAACAAGAAATTAACATTCAATTTGATTTCATACAATATTAAGATTCACATTGATAATATTTTTCTTTTATTTCATTCTTCCTTTCAGCCAGAGGGGGACATGTGCATTATTATATGTCTCTTTTTGAAAACAAGAGGGCCATGGGCCACATCGCTCACCTGAGTTACTTGGGTGATGAAGTTCTTTACCAGATTTCCCCTCTTGCTATACCTATCATGCCCCCCTACCCCCTCCCCTTTCATGATTTTAATACTTTAGAATCTACACTACCCAAGGATGCTTTCACATAAGTTTCAGCTTTCCTGGCCCAGTGGTTTTTGAGAAAAAGATTCTTAAATGATTTTTCCTAACTATATCTATGTAAAACTTGTATTCCCTATTGTGGCTCCGCCCTACCCCTGGGGGTCATGATTTTAACAATTTAATATCTACTTTACCCCAGGATGCTTCCACGTAAGTTTCAGCTTTTCTGGCCCAGTGGTTCTTGAGAAGAAGATTTTAAAAGATTTGTTCTATATATTTCTATGTAAAACTTGTATTCCCTATTGTGGCCCCGCCCTACCCCCGGTGGTCATGATTTTAACAATTTAATATCTACTTTACCCCAGGATGCTTCCACAAAAGTTTTAGCTTTCCTGGCCGAGTAGTTCTTGAGAAAAAGATTTTTAAAGATTTGTTCTATATATTTCTATGTAAAACTTGGATTCCCTATTGTGGCCCTGTCCAAACCCTGGGGGTCATGATTTTAACAATTTAATATCTACTCTACCCAAGGATGCTTTCACATAAGTTTCAGCTTTTCTGGCCCAGTGGTTCTTGAGAAGAAGATTTTTAAAGATTTGTTCTATATATTTCTATGTAAAACTTATATTCCCTATTGTGGCCCCGCCCTACCCCCGGGGGTCATGATTTTAACAATTTAATATCAAATCTACCCCAAGATGCTTCCACATAAGTTTCAGCTTTCCTGGCCCAGTGGTTCTTGAGAAAAAAATTTTAAAGATTTGTTCTATATATTTCTAATAGATGTAAAACTTATATTCCCTATTGTGGCCAGGCCCAACCCTGGGGGTCATGATTTGAACAATTTAATATCTACTCTACCCCAGGATGCTTTCACATAAGTTTCAGCTTTCCTGGCCCAGTGGTTCTTGAGAAGAAGATTTTTTAAAACTTTGTTTTATACATTTCTATGTAAAACTTGTATTCCCTATTGTGGCCACGGCCAATCCCTGGGGGTCATGGTTTTAACAATTTAATATCTACACTACCCAAGGATGGTTCCACATTAGTTTCAGCTTTCCTGGCCCAGTGGTTCTTGAGAAAAAGATTTTTAAAGATTTGTTCTATATATTTCTATGTAAAACTAATATTCCCTATTGTGGCCCCGCCCTACCCCTGGGGGTCATGATTTTAACAATTTAATATCTACTTTACCCCAGGATGCTTCCACATAAGTTTCAGCTTTCCTGGCCCAGAGGTTCTTGAGAAGAAGATTTTTTAAAGATTTATTTTATACATTTCTTTGTAAAACTTGAATACCCTATTGTGGCCCCGCCCTACCCCCCGGGGTCATGGTTTTAATATCTTCACTACCCAAGGATGCTTCCACATAAGTTTCAGCTTTCCTGGCCTAGTGGTTCTTGAGAAGAAGATTTTTTAATGACCCCACCCTATTTTTGTCTTTTCTTGATTATCTCCCCTTGTAAGGGGACTTGACCCTTCATTTTAACAATTTAAACTCCCCTTCACCTAAGGATGCTTTGAACTAAGTTTGATAAAAATTGGCCCATTGGTTCTTGAGAAGAAGTTGAAAATGTGAAAAGTTTATAGACGGACAGGCAGACGGACGGACAGACGGACGGACAGCTGGACGGACGACGGACAAAATGTGATCAGAAAAGCCTTTGGCTCAGGTGAGCTAAAAAAATGAAACAAAGTGAATTTAAATTTATGGGAATTCCCATATTCAAGCAAACTATACTCACCCCTCGAAATATATCAACTTCCAGTTTAGTGGTCTGAAATTAAATTGTAAACAAAAAATTTAAAACATTTTACTAAATTTTTTAAAGCAATGCGGATCAAGCACAGAACTCTAAAAATCAGATGCCATGAAGGAGTGAGCATCCCCTGCCAACCCATCACACCCGCTGTGTGCTCCTGTTCATGATCAGGGACAGGGGAAATTTATTTTTTGACAATTCAGTGTGTATATAATACATAATTACATGTATATAACAATCAAAATACATTATCAAATGTAATCAACAAAAAGGATAATAAAATTTTAAAACTTGGTCGGAGTTAGCCCCTATATCCCTAAATCTATTCTACAATTCCTGCCATTAGTATAAGAAAGTTTGAATGAAAGAAAAGCAGAAAAGTTGTAATATCTCAATCATTGCTTGAATCATTCTAATTTTAACAGAATAAGCAACATCACGAACATGAAAGACTTATAACTCACAATGTTAGGAAGCTACATACTTTACTTGAGACTTACATTGAAAATGGATGCATGAGGGCTACCAACTTCTAAACAGTTGTCATACTGAAAACAAAATTAAACAACATTTATTAATTGACATTTCTATAAAAGTAATCAGAAAATCATAAAACAAAATCCCTCAGTTGTGTGAAAAAAGATTTGACCATTACCACTTCCGTGACATTTTTCCCATAGAATCCTTCTGCGAATACTGCAGTCACGAACACATTGATGAGGAATGATACAAACAAAGCAATGGCTGCCTCCACGAAAAAGTACTTGTTGGCTTCCCGGACATGATCCCTCCGAGACCGATCTACATCTCGAGACTAAAAATAGATGAGATATTTACATTAGATACTGTATGATGACTGAGAAATACTGAGTAGGCAATATGACAGAAATGTGCATCAATTTCTTACAGTAATTTGAATGTAATACTAGAGGCAAGATGCACAAAAGAATATATCCCTTACCATGATAAAGGTATGGGATATTAAAAATGCTTTCCAATTATATATGGGCCCTGTATCTACAAGTGCAACTGCATCATTAAAATTCTGTGCTTAAATCTTGAAAATTAATAAGTTACTGACAAGGAAATTTCTAGGTAATTAGCATAGACTCTGTGCCATGTTTATTAAGATTTTGAGAGATCCAGACCTTGACGAGGGCAGAGTGAAGGTAGATGTTGTGAGGCATGATGATGGCTCCTATAATCCCAACGGCCTGAAGAACCTGCTCCGGTCCGCAATCCTCACAGTACGGAATAAACATCCCCTTAAGTAGGGCGGGCTGATCCGGCTTAACTATTACATACTGTAAATAGATAAAACAGTACGGAATAAACATCCCCTTAAGTAGGACGGGCTGATCCGGCTTAACTATTACATACTGTAAATAGATAAAACAGTACGGAATAAACATCCCCTTAAGGAGGGAGGGCTGATCCGGCTTAACTATTACATACTGTAAATAGATAAAACAGTACGGAATAAACATCCCCTTAAGTAGGGAGGGCTGATCCGGCTTAACTATTACATACTGTAAATAGACAATCTTTACAGTATGGAATAAACATCCCCTTAAGTAGGGAGGGCTGATCAGGCTTAACTATTACATACTGTAAATAGACAATCTTTACAGTATGGAATAAACATCCCCTTAAGTAGGGAGGGCTGATCAGGCTTAACTATAACATACTGTAAATAGATAAATAGACAAAACAGTACGGAATAAACATCCCCTTAAGGAGGGCGGGCTGATCCGGCTTAACTATTACATACTGTAAACAGAGAAAACAGTACGGAATAAACATCCCCTTAAGTAGGGAGGGCTGATCCGGCTTAACTATTACATACTGAAAACAGACAAAACAGTACAGAATAAACATCCCCTTAAGTATAGGGAGGGCTGATCCGGCTTAACTATTACATACTGTAAACAGACAAAACAGTACGGAATAAACATCCCCTTAAGTAGGGAGGGCTGATCCGGCTTAACTATTACATACTGTAAACAGACAAAACAGTACGGAATAAACATCCCCTGAAGGAGAGAGGGCTGATCCGGCTTAACTATAACATACTGTAAATAGATAAAACGGTACGGAATAAACATCCCCTTAAGTAACGAGGGCTGGTCAGGCTTAACTATTACATACTGTAAACAGATAAATAGACAAAACAGTACGGAATAAACATCCCCTTAAGTAACGAGGGCTGGTCAGGCTTAACTATTACATACTGCAAATAGATAAAACGGTACGGAATAAACATCCTTTTAAGTAATGAGGGCTGATCCGGCTTAACTATTACATACTACAAACAGACAAACATATAAAACAGTACAGTATAAACATCCCCTTACATGTAAGGAGGGAAGACTGATCAGGCTTAACTATTACATACTGTAAACAGATAAAACAGTACGTAATAAACATCCCCTTAAGTAGGGAGGGCAGATCAGGCTTAACTATTACATACTGTAAACTAGAACTGTCCAAACGGGACGAAATACCCCCCGCTGGGTTTTTCAGAAGTAAGTTTTTCCATAATAAAGAAATGTATCAAAATCAAAAATTATGAAATTTTTATTCCAGAGACCTTGAACTTTCCAAATTGACCTTCGGTCAAGGTCATGACAGATCCTTGGGTCATGGGCAATCTTTGTGGGAAATAAAAACATACCAAGTTTATCCATAAGAAAGATATGAACCAGACATGAATTGTGAAATTTTTCTACCAGTGACCTTGAACTTCTCCAAATGACCTTGGGTCAAGGTCATGACACACCCTTGGGTCATGGGCAATCTTTCTGTGAAATGAGAACCTACCAAGTTTATCTATAAGAAAGATATGGACCGGACACAAATTATGAAATTTTTCTTCCAGTGACCTTGAACTTCCCCAAATGACCTTTGGTCAAGGTCATGACACACCCTTAGGTCATGAGCAATCTTAGAGTGGAGTAGTAGATTCTAATGTCCCTCTGTAAGAAAAAGATATGGACCGGACACGATTGCACAGACAGACGGACAGCTGGACAGACAGACAGCTGGACAGACGGACAAGGTGATTCCTATATACCCCCCCAAACTTCGTTTGCGGGGGGTATAACAATCAAGAGCATTAATAGACACACAACAACCAATGTTCAAAATAATAATAAATAAATGTGCCTATAGTTGAGTACTGTACATGTACATAAATTTGAGTATTTAAAAAACCTTTTACTTGTGGAAGATGGATTTTAACTTTATTCAATGTAATGATGTTTCTTAAAATATACTATAGAAGGGACTTCTTATTCAGCATTTTTTTTCCTTATATAACTGGTACCGATAAACGCACCATTCCCGATGCCAAAAAATGTAAATAGACAAAACAGTACGGAATAAACATCCCCTTAAGTAGGGTGGGCTGATCTGGCTTAACTATTACATACTGTAAACAAACAAACAGATAAAACAGTACAGTATAAACATCTCCTTAACATTCTAGGTTGTTTTTCCGACCTCTGATGGAAAGACCCGAGATGATGCGATTGACACCTCTTACCTCGTATCCAAATGTGACAGCCATGATGAAGATAAGGAATGCAAAGAAAGCCTCCAGTTTACGTAGACCATACTTGTCCAGGAGGAGGAAGGTAAACGTGTCCGCAATCGTAATCAGCACGCCCGCATACAAAGGTATCCTGTAGGTCGAAATAAAACAAAAACAATATTTTAAATTCAGAAACTTACTAGCAATATTTTGTGTGGGAAATCCCATGGGAAAAAATATAAAGGAATCATCGAGGATAAGTTATACCCCCCCCCTCCTCCTCCCATGGGCCTTGAATTCAACGATTTATAATCTACACTAATTTTCTCTGTCTTTAGCATGTTTAGGATGCTTCCAAATAAGTTTCAGCTTTTCTTGCCCAGTTGTTATTGTGAATTTTGAAGAAGTTAAGATTCTGAATTTTTTTTTACCCTACCCTATTTTTGGCCTTTTCTTTAATATCTTCCATTGGAAGGGAGTTTGGTCCTCCATTTTAAGGATTTAATCTCCTTTACCCAAGAATGTTTCTTAGATAGTTTGTTTAAAATTGCACATTTTTTGTGTCTGAGAAATTGTTTACATGTAATGTGTAATGCTGAGTCAGCAATATTTCAGTCATATTCCCTCAGTCTCGAGAAGAAGTTAGAATGTTTACAGACAGACAGATTGACAGACAGACAGACAGCTAGACAGATTCACAGACAGACAGATTCACAGACAGCTAGACAAATTGAAAGACAGGCAGACAGATTGACAGACAGGCAGACAGATTGACAGACAGGCAGACAGATTGACAGCTAGACAGATTGACAGACAGGCAGACAGATTGACAGACAGGCAGACAGATTAACAGACAGACAGACACCAGAAGAGTGATCAGAAAAGTTCACTTGACTTTTTAGCTTAAATTAGCTCATATATTATGTATAGTAGTAAAACTGTATTTCAAAGTAACACATGTATGTTCATCATGAATGAATCAGATTTGTGTTGTAAATAAGAAAAACTTACTTTCCATCCGATAACAAGTAAAATGCTATAGCTGTTCCAATCACTTCCTGCATATCTGATCCTGTAAACAAATATAAACAATATAAAACTGCAGTGACTACCAGTCAGGGGTGTGACTGGAATCAATTATTTTCTAAAAATGATTGATAATGATCATTTCTTCTAAGTATATATCAATGTACACATTCTTCTTATTTTTGTAAATATGACGAAGTTCTTTTCATCATATTTCCATTCTCAAGTCAATTTTTCCAACCCATTTACTACAGTAATAAGATATAGTACACTATGCTGCCAAAGACCCTTGTATAGAGAAACATCTTGACAAGTAACTGAAACCAAAATAATTTAGTGCGCCCCGTAAAACAAACGAGATAATTAAGTGCGCCCAGACCTAACAATTTGATAAAAAAAGGATGAAATACAGTCATTTTTAATATCAGAGGTAGCTCTATTTCTAAAATAAATTCCAAATAGATAATGACTATTTTTCATCATTAATCTAAAAAAAGATGAATTTCAATCATTATCAAAAATCAATTCAATGACTAGAAATCATCATTTTTAAAAATGATGGATATTTCAGTCTCACCCCTGACTGACTACTGTAGAAGCACAAATTTTCTTGGGCATAAAATTTCGTTATTTTGTCTTCAAAAATGGTTTTGTGGGCATTTAATTTCGTTGTTTTGAAAGTAACCCTATTCAATACAAGAGATGTTTGTAAAACACTTACGCCCCCCTCCCCCACACATTGGAATTTTTCTAAGTCCAAAAGGGCATAACTCTGTAAAAATGGTGTGATCATACCCAAAACATACCTTGATCAAGATATTCATCTGACTAATCTGTATACTAAATTCTATTTCAATATGTGCAACCTCTCCTAAGAAAATGAACGGAAACTGCAAAAATATGGAATTTTTCTTAGAGTCCAAGGGGCATAACTCTGTCAATTAAGGTGCGATCATACCCAAAACAGAACTTGACCTAGATATACATCTGACTAATTTGTGTACTAAATTCCATTTCAATATGTGCAACCTCTCCAAAGAAAATGAACGGAAACTGCATATAATTGGAATTTTTCTAAGTCCAAGGGGCATAACTCTGTCAATTATGATGCGATTGTATCCAAAGCATAACTTGACCTAGATATTCATGTGTTATACCTGTATACCAAATTTCATTTCAGTATATGCAATGGTTATGAAGAAAATGAATGGAAACTAAATGGACCGACAGACCGACCGACAGACAGCAGCAAAGCAATATGCCCTCCCTTCTTCGAAGGGGGGCATAATAAAATCATATTGAATTTCGTGTGGGATTTAATTTCATTGAATATTGTTAACAACGAAATAAACAAAATTTAATCCCCCACGAATATTTGTGCTTTTACAGTAAATAAATTCCTGCTTAAATAATGTATAAAGTGGAGTCTTGATATTCTTTTAGCTTTGTACTTTTCTTTTTCTTTTTAGAAAAAAAAACATTAACTGTGAAAGTTGTAAAAGTCTGAATTCAACTTCACAACCCAAGTTAGAATTTGGATATACCCATGAGGATAAGGATATAGCTCTAAGACTTATTTGGTCTGTGTATATTAGGACGAGTAAGGCATAGACAATACTGAAACAAAAAAAGCAATAAAAAAATTTATCTTGCACAAAGCATGCAGTGATTAAACCACTAGAAATATGTCCATGGGACATGAATGTCAGCTAGTCCAGGGATCTTAAAGAGTTTTCCTTGAAATGTTGCTTTAAGTCAAGGTCAAAAGTGCTGATGCAGCTGAAAAGTTTGGATCAATATATTTCAGCTTATGATGTATAATAAAATATAATGTGATCCATTTATAATATCTGAAGAACATGTATCCTAATAATCTAAGATTAATATGTTTTTGAACAATACCAAACAATATTGTACCTCTATCAATAATTTTGAATTTTGATTGGTTGAAATCCCATGCTTCCCCCTGTCTTAAAAACAGGACCTCACCAATGATAGCTATTTCCACCATGAACCACAACACAAAGCGTGGAACCCTGGGATAGCTTCTGTAGCAGACCTCAGCCAGGTGCATTCCTGTCACCACCCCCAGGCGCGCTGACAGCCTCTGCATCAGGAGACCCAGAAACGTGGCCGACATCAGTATCCATAGCAACTGTAGCATATACAAACAGACATCAGTATCCATAGCAACTATAACATAAATACGCAGACTTCAGTATCCATAGAAACTATAATATTAATACATAGAGGTCAGTATCCATAGCAACTATAACATAAATAAACAGACATCAGTATCCATAGCAACTGTAACATGAATCAACAGATGTCAGTATCCTTAGCAACTATAAAATAGCAACTATAACATAAATACACAGAGGTCAGTATCCATAGCAACTATAACGCGTAGCGAGCTCAATAGACTAACATGTACAAACAGAGGAAATTCAGGTTGAAATCTGCACATTGATCCAAGAAATTTTTATGAGTCCACCTGAAAACATTCTTCAATCCCAATAATCCTTTGCAGTGCATAGCAACATGGTGGCTAAAACATAGCAACAACTTACTTTAAAAAAAATTACAAACAACGATTTTATGCAATCTCCATGCCACAAAACTATCGTTTGTGTTCTAAGTCAACTGGACTTTTTATTTGACGTCATACTTTCATCACATTCACGGCTTGGGTATTTCCGATTTTGTCGGAAACTTCCGAAAAAGTTCGGAATCTCAATGCCTGGGAAATGATGAACTGAGGATAGGCAGGGCAAGTAAAAGTGTAAAGGTTTTTGATCGTTAAATAACTGCGCTCGCCCTAACGGTCACACTGTAGAACATATTAACATTGGTTTAATAAGCAAATCTTTAAATGTCATATATTTTTAAAATAAATTGTCATATTTTTTAAGCTAATTGATTCACTAATTACTCTAAAGCTCGTGAATACTAATCAGATACTGACCTTGAACTGAGCAACAGATCCGGACCGGAGATCCGACTCAATATTTCCCGGATCCAGATAGGCAATACTCATAAGGAACCCTGGACCAGTGAAAGCCCAGAGTTTTCTAAAGCTGAAAACTGGATGCTTAAAATCAAAAAATTATGAACAGGATTAAATATTTCAGAGATGATTATCCAATCTGAGCAATGCATATTTCATCTCTTAATCTTTTATTTGAAAGAACATTTTCCTCAATAAGTCATTAAAGTTAAAGAAAAGGTGGGAAAATATTATTTTGGTGGGGGAGTAGGGGTGGAAGATGGGGGGGGGGGGGGGGGGGAAGGATGTATATTTCCAAAAGTAAAAAGATGTGTTTGAGAAAAAAAAAAACGAAGCAAAACAAGTCAAATAGGTTAATATTGTTTACATTTTGTTTATGGACTAGACATTCTGTATACTGATTGAGTTAGCCTTACCTCTTCATCCTCTGGTATGGGGATTTTGTTGTTGAAGTGATTGAGTGAGTCTTACCTCTTCATCCTCTGGTATGGGGATTTTGTTGTTGAAGTGATTGAGTGAGTCTTACCTCTACATCCTCTGGTATGGGGATTTTGTTGTTGAAGTGATTGAGTGAGCCTTACCTCTACATCCTCTGGTATGGGGATTTTGTTGTTGAAGTGATTAAGTGAGCCTTACCTCTTCATCCCCTGGTATGGGGATTTTGTTGTTGAAGTGATTGAGTGAGTCTTACCTCTTCATCCCCTGGTCTGGGGATTTTGTTGTTGAAGTGATTGAGTGAGTCTTACCTCTTCATCCTCTGGTATGGGGATTTTGTTGTTGAGGTGATTGAGTGAGTCTTACCTCTTCATCCCCTGGTATGGGTATTTTGTTGTTGAAGTGATTGAGTGAGTCTTACCTCTTCATCCTCTGGTATGGGGATTTTGTTGTTGAAGTGATTGAGTGAGTCTTACCTCTTCATCCTCTGGTATGGGGATTTTGTTGTTGAGGTGATTGAGTGAGTCTTACCTCTTCATCCTCTGGTATGGGGATTTTGTTGTTGAAGTGATTGAGTGAGCCTTACCTCTACATCCTCTGGTATGGGGATTTTGTTGTTGAAGTGATTGAGTGAGTCTTACCTCTTCATCCTCCGGTATGGGGATTTTGTTGTTGAAGTGATTGAGTGAGCCTTACCTCTTCATCCTCTGGTATGGGGATTTTGTTGTTGAAGTGATTGAGTGAGTCTTACCTCTACATCCTCTGGTATGGGATTTTGTTGTTGAAGTGATTGAGTGAGTCTTACCTCTACATCTTCTGGTATGGGGTTTTTGTTGTTGAAGTGATTGAGTGAGTCTTACCTCTTCATCCTCTGGTATGGGGATTTTGTTGTTGAAGTGATTGAGTGAGCCATACCTCTAGATTCTGGTATGGGGATTTTGTTGTTGAAGTGATTGAGTGAGCCTTACCTCTTCATCCTCTGGTATGGGGATTTTGTTGTTGAAGTGATTGAGTGAGTCTTACCTCTACATCTTCTGGTATGGGGATTTTGTTGTTGAGGTGATTGAGTGAGCCTTACCTCTTCATCCCCTGGTATAGGGATTTTGTTGTTGAAGTGATTGAGTGAGTCTTACCTCTACATCCTCTGGTATTGGGATTTTGTTGTTGAAGTGATTGAGTGAGTCTTACCTCTTCATCCTCTGGTATGGGGATTTTGTTGTTGAAGTGATTGAGTGAGTCTTACCTCTTCATCCCCTGGTCTGGGGATTTTGTTGTTGAAGTGATTGAGTGAGTCTTACCTCTTCATCCTCCGGTATGGGGATTTTGTTGTTGAGGTGATTGAGTGAGTCTTACCTCTTCATCCTCTGGTATGGGGATTTTGTTGTTGAAGTGATTGAGTGAGTCTTACCTCTTCATCCCCTGGTATGGGGATTTTGTTGTTGAAGTGATTGAGTGAGTCTTACCTCTTCATCCCCTGGTATGGGGATTTTGTTGTTGAGGTGATTGAGTGAGTCTTACCTCTTCATCCCCTGGTCTGGGGATTTTGTTGTTGAAGTGATTGAGTGAGTCTTACCTCTTCATCCTCTGGTATGGGGATTTTGTTGTTGAGGTGATTGAGTGAGTCTTACCTCTTCATCCCCTGGTATGGGTATTTTGTTGTTGAAGTGATTGAGTGAGTCTTACCTCTACATCCTCTGGTATGGGGATTTTGTTGTTGAGGTGATTGAGTGAGTCTTACCTCTTCATCCCCTGGTATGGGGATTTTGTTGTTGAAGTGATTGAGTGAGTCTTACCTCTTCATCCTCTGGTATGGGGATTTTGTTGTTGAAGTGATTGAGTGAGTCTTACCTCTTCATCCTCTGGTATGGGGATTTTGTTGTTGAAGTGATTGAGTGAGTCTTACCTCTTCATCCTCCGGTATGGGGATTTTGTTGTTAAAGTGATTGAGTGAGTCTTACCTCTTCATCCTCTGGTATGGGGATTTTGTTGTTGACGTGATTGAGTGAGTCTTACCTCTTCATCCCCTGGTATGGGGATTTTGTTGTTGAAGTGATTGAGTGAGTCTTACCTCTTCATCCTCTGGTATGGGGATTTTGTTGTTGAGGTGATTGAGTGAGTCTTACCTCTTCATCCTCTGGTATGGGGATTTTGTTGTTGAAGTGATTGAGTGAGCCTTACCTCTTCATCCTCTGGTATGGGGATTTTGTTGTTGAAGTGATTGAGTGAGCCTTACCTCTTCATCCCCTGGTATGGGGATTTTGTTGTTGAAGTGATTGAGTGAGTCTTACCTCTTCATCCTCCGGTATGGGGATTTTGTTGTTGAAGTGATTGAGTGAGCCATACCTCTAGATTCTGGTATGGGGATTTTGTTGTTGAAGTGATTGAGTGAGTCTTACCTCTTCATCCTCCGGTATGGGGATTTTGTTGTTGAAGTGATTGAGTGAGCCATACCTCTAGATTCTGGTATGGGGATTTTGTTGTTGAAGTGATTGAGTGAGCATTACCTCTTCATCCTCTGGTATGGGGATTTTGTTGTTGAAGTGATTGAGTGAGTCTTACCTCTACATCTTCTGGTATGGGGATTTTGTTGTTGAAGTGATTGAGTGAGCCATACCTCTAGATTCTGGTATGGGGATTTTGTTGATGAAGTGATTGAGTGAGTCTTACCTCTTCATCCCCTGGTATGGGGATTTTGTTGATGAAGTGATTGAGTGAGTCTTACCTCTTCATCCCCTGGTATGGGGATTTTGTTGTTGAAGTGATTAAGTGAGCCTTACCTCTACATCCTCTGGTATTGGGATTTTGTTGTTGAAGTGATTGAGTGAGTCTTACCTCTACATCCCCTGGTATGGGGATTTTGTTGTTGAAGTGATTGAGTGAGCCTTACCTCTACATCCTCTGGTATGGGTATTTTGTTGTTGAAGTGATTGACTTAGCCTTACCTCTTCATCCTCTGGTATGGGGATTTTGTTGTTGAAGTAACTAGAGGCTATGCTCGTACTGCTGGCACTGCTGCGTTTTATTGGCAGAGCCTCTGACCCCTCACCAGGCCTGACCTCTGACCCCTCAACCTCACTAGACCTGACTCCTGACCACTCAACTTTTCTAGGCCTGATATCTCCCTCTTCTTTTTTTGTCCTTTCCATTTCTCTCGCCTCTTCATTCATGAATTTCTTTTTTTCTCTGACAAATATATTAAATGTGTTATAACATAATTACTGTATAATTCCTATTCACTGCCCTACCAAAAATTATTCAGTTTTTAGTGTCCTGATACCGATTTATGATATTTATAGCCAAAATAAATCTTATCATTGTTTGCACTGTAAATTTATGGCCCATTCTATCCCAAACGGACTATTATATTCCATTTTGGCGAGTGGTCCGCACCTGTACATATTATTGTATACAGCTTCTGTACACATCACTCACAGTTCAGGCTTGGTGTCATAGCTTTATTGCAAAGCTCTAATATTTGTCATGTTTATAGAGCACCTTGTTAATGTATATAAAAACATACACAAGAACACAGTCACCATTTTATTCATCGTCGCAAACCACGGCCAAAATGTACGATCCTCTCCCATTCTGTAGGATACTTTGTGGCTTGAGACGATGCATTTTATCAGGTCCAGTACAATCAGTGCATTTAGCTACGTAGGTAGAATTACCTACGTAGCTTTATTTACCTACCTTAGGTAGCTTGATTTAGCTACCAAATGAATTTATTTCTATAAAAAAGCATTTTTCTCAGGATGTGCAAAAACTATCATTTTGATCATGTTGATGCAGTGATCATTTTCAACTTTGAACTCATCTGAAACAATTCATGAAAAATTCCCTCTTGAAGAAATGTCTTTTTCTGCGCAATTGCAATCAAAGTTTTGAAAGTTTTGGGGCTATGTATGACAGTTAGACAGTTACTCCTTGAATGAAATGACAAAGAAATCCAGTTACGGTTAACACGATAATAGGTCGGTAATTATTCAGCACAATGTGAAGTAATCATACTCAGTCATGCCTCACCGCACGGACAGCTAACCAAACAATGGAAATTGACACGTTTTGCTCAAAATTGACTAAACACAGCGATATTTAAACTATCTCTGATTTGGAATGTTTTTTAAAGTCTCCCTAGTATAAATATCAATAGTCATTTAACAGGTTGGGAACACATCCCCTTTAGCGAGATCATCTCGCTAAAGCGCGATTATACCTCTGTAGCGGGAGAAAATACATCTCGGAAAACCGAGATTTGTACACTGATTCGAACTGTAATCGTGTTAACTTCGGAAAAAGGAAAATCCGGGAGTATGTTAACCCATTCGATAAATGTTTATTGTCTCATCTCAATAAATTTGCTTCAAAATATTGCCTCTACTGCTGCAAATCATGGAAATTAGAATAAGTTTATGAACAATAGCGTAGCTTTCCTACGGAGGACCACAGGTGATAATTATCAGTACAATTACAAGTTGACTGTATAACTAAACTTACTTCGGTTATAGGGTTATTGTAAATGCATGTTTACTTTATTAATTTTTTTTAACACGCCTGCTTGAAAAGCGAGAGTATACAGCATGATAGAGTGATGGGGTGTCCGTCACTTTGGACTTTCCATAGGGTATGACGATCTCGACATGAAGTCTGTTTGGTGACCTATAAATTTCAAATCGCCTGATTGACTGATATTAAGTCCCACCTTTTTACTGTAAGAAGCGCACTCATTGGTTCTTTGCTACACTCGTCAGAGTTTCCAGGATCTTCTATCAAATACATGTATATTAATTTTTCTGTATATTTTACCCATGAAAATAATACGTTCATTGTCAGTTTTAAATTCTCGTCCTACGTAAATTTTAATCAACCCTAAAAAATATTTTATCCTATACTATTGCACTGTCTCAAACTTTGCAAGTTATATTGGAAACGATATTTTGGACGGCTAGAGATGGTACACGTAGATGGACGGATAGGTTGGGGGGGGGGGGGTACTAGAAACAAATACAGTAGGTAGGTTGTGCAACTTGATTTCTTTAAATGTATTATACAGTATACATGTACCAAAACTCTTATCAGGCATGGTAAAAGCTATCAATCAATCAGTTTATTCTCTCAAACCATACAACATGGTTAGGTACATGAGGAACATAATGTATATACAATGTCTATAAAGTCATCAGAGATACATTTAGTATAAATATACACACATATAAATATATATACATATAAATATATACATAAGTAAATGTTTTACAACTGCATGTAGAGAGGATGTACTTAAAGTACATGTAATAATAATGTATATTCATCTGCCGCCAAAATACGGCTGAAATTTTGCCGACTCGGCATTTAACAATAACAATAAACACTTTTAGCATTTATTTGATTTTGGAGGGCAGATTTTTCAGAAGCCCCCCCTTTTTTTGATATAAAAATGCCACCTGGTCTGTGTGCTTTCATGTAGCCTATGTTTTGGAAAGTATCTGATTCCCTATTAAAATTTACACATTTTAACTTGTGCAGGATCCCAAGATGTTTCCAACGCAATTAAAGTGTCCTCAAACGAAGAACTGTTCATTGCCACCGGTAAAAACATTACGAATTAATTTATTTCATTAAAATACAAATACATAGGGAATACTTCTTTAAATTATAATTAACAACACGTAAGTAGCAGCAATTTCAACAATGCAATTTCGCATTTCTGTTTTTCTAATTTCGTAAAGTTATTAAATTTAGTTCAAGGTAACATGTTTACACTTTCAACAGACACGTTTCTGTGTTAATGAAATAATTAAGATGGGTAAGTGGTAACTAAAAAAAAGTTCGAAGCTACCCCCCCCCCTCTACCTGCACGAAATAGGATTTTCAGGTTTGGGCAATGGTCAAATTCTCCTCTTTTAGCATGTCAAATTTTTTTCAGGTTGATTTTTTCTCTTTGAATTAGCCACCCCCCCCCCCCCTTTTCCAATTTGCTTCCGACGCCGTTGAATCATGCTTTTATGAATTTACAAGTTTACCATGCATCAACATTTGTACTAAGTCAATATCAGTTAGATTCAATATAAACCCTTTTTTTTATTAATTTCAATACTCCGTTAAATTAATGGTTTACACATATTCTATACACATCTCAGTTTATACTTGTTTTTTAATCATGGCTTTTCCACAAACGTTACAACCCTGTTGCGCTTCCGTACTTCTTTGCGTCAACCAAAGATCAAGTATTTAAGCAAATATCATGGGTTTCTAAAGAACATTATTTTTAACTTTTGTACAAGAATGGAAAGCTAAGACCCTAACGAATATAATTTGGATATCTATACATATTTTATATGCTTCAAAAACATATATGACTGTAAATCTTGAAACCTTTGCTAAAAAGGCACGATTTACACCTGGATTTCAGCATCTTATTCTCACACGCAGCAGTGATTATCTTAAATTTCTGGCCAATACTGTCAGTTTTTTGCAGTAAATTCATGCTTCAATGCAGCTTTCTCCCGGATTTTCAATACGCACGAGATTTTTGATTATTTTACAACGAAAACAACAAAATTCCCGTTTATGGTAATGTTTTTTCTTCCGCTACAGAGGGATAATCGCGCTTTAACGAGATGATCTCGCTAAAGGGGATGTGTTCCCAACCTGTTTAACTGCGATTTTTTGTCTCTTTTCCATAAAAAGAAAAGTTACATTGAGATAGCTAAATCAAGCTACCTGAGGTTGGTAAATAAAGCTACGTAGGTAATTCTATCTACGTAGCTTAATGCACTGATTGTACTGGACCTGTTTATTATGCATGGTCAGAGACTTCATCGATGCAGTTCATTACTTGATATAATTTTGATGTTGTAAATGAGAGATATAATTTCTTAATTTGGTCTATCTTGAGACCTGGTAGGTGTACTATATATAAAAGCTTTACAATACCTTTACATTTCAAGTTATTTCCGCAATATCCGCAATCAACACAATCATAACAGTGAGTGA